TATGAACTCATTTGATGAGGCTGCAAACTTTATATTACATCACAATAGCTATTCATTCTTCAGTTATGTACTATACACTTCTATGTTTTATGCACTTTGCTGGTGCTGGGGAATTATTTAACATGCTGTTTTCAGCAAGCTTACAAACACAAAAACAAGCAGAACAAAGTAATGAAATAATCAAACTCATACATTGTTATGACAAAAGTAAACAAGGGACTGAGAGTTGGAAGACATATTTTTCAAACTATAGGTTGCCAGTTGGGAATAAATTCAATGAGCCCCATTTTTTTTTAAGATAAATTAAGCATTACAAGGTAAGTATTATTGCGTGAAACTTCCCCAGGGTGGGTCATGATGTAAAATTTGGCACAGGAAATAATCTACAAATGGGAATGTAATAGGAATGGAAAAGACCTGGCAATGTTAGAAAAACAAATAATATTGGGGCTAGAATCCTACAGAAAGAAGGGACAGAGTTGTATGGATTAAGGTGAGAAAGATGTTAATATTCTGGAAGAGGGTTTGTAAAATGAATGCAGTTTTAAACAGCTAAGTGGCAGGATTTGGTTTACTTTTTTTTTTTTAAAGATTTATTTATTTATACAAGAACTGGGGTACATGCCAGATGTGTGGGAGGGTGAGAGGATTCATCAGAGACAGAGGAGTGGGGAACAGAATAGGCAGACTAATAAAATACACTGCTAAGGGGAGCAGCAGGAGAGACAGGAGAGGCCTGCCTCACCATGTGGGTATCTCCGCTGCCAGCGGGGATTGAACTGGTACTGCAGAGGCTGCAGACAGCTTCAAAGCGCGGCACTCAACCGCCTGTGCCACCAAGGAGGCCCTGGTTTATATTTTAAAAGTCACTTTCCTTGCTACAAGGAGACTGAATTGGAGGGCAAAAATAGACTCACCAGAAGACTGTTGTAAATCACTGTTGTAGGTGATAAGGGTAGCTTGATTTGAGTGGGAAAAGGGAGGGGCAGTGTGCAGTGGAGATGGATTCAAGATGTTTTGAAGACAAAATCAATAGGCCTTGCTGAAGTGAGGTGTCAGACACATACTCTAAATTTTAGAGTACGTATTGTGGTTCCATGAATATATCATGTTCTCCCATGGGTCTGTATGTCTGCACAAGCTATTCTCTCTATACTCTACCCTCTGTTGTGCCAGCATGCACAGGGCAGGTTCACTATTGATTCAGGCAGACAAAGGTGAGTCCCGGAGCCCTCAATGAGTTTTCCAGGCTTTAATGCTCTCTCAGGGAACCAGGTACATGGGCATACCAGACAGGGAGGGTGGCATGCCACCGAGCCTCCCAGCCCCTACAAATCTTTACTCCCTGACATTCTCTCATGATCTCACCTCTTCTGTAGTCACTCGTCCTCCCACAGCCGTCCATCTGAGTGATGCCACCCTTATACATGCCTCGCCTCCAGGCTCAGGTGTGCCCACTTACACATACCCATACCCTGCTCCAGGTGGCCACAATCAGGCACACGTGCCCTGTACCACGCTTCTAAGTACCTTGTGCATCAACACAATCAAGGACGCAGGTGACAACCATGAGGCTGACTGTGCAAAAAGCCTGAGTAACTCACCCTACACCCTCTCAAAGCTCTCACCCTGTTCTCTTGGCATACGCCCACCCATCCTCTGTTTAGGACTGAGTCCGAACATTAGCTTTTCCACAAAGCCTTCCCAGAGACTTAGAAGCTGTCTTCTCCATGTCCCTCTAGCACTTCACACATGCTTCTCATAAAGTACTTGCAGATTACACTACAATTACCTGTTTATATACATCTCTTCCCAAGTTAGACTGGAGCCATCCCAGGACAGAAAATTCTATTTACTGTCAATCTTGGCACTGATGATAGTGTTTAGAAAACCACAGACTTGTTACTGGGCAAAGGGTCTAACGATTGTCACTGGATCAGAACCTCTCTCATTGGTTCTAGGTCCTGCCACCTGCTACCACAAATGTAAACCAAATGTGCTTTGGTGCAGCAAAAGAAAAAAAAAAAAAAACTTATTTTAACCAACAGGGCAGAGAGGGAGAAAGTCTAGTTAGTGACTGATGGTGAAGGTGGAGTTATAGCTACACAAGCCTGCAGGGCTGCCATATCTGTGACAGAGGTCTGCTGTTGCTGACGTGGGTCCCTCAATCCCACCCAGGGAGGCAAAGGCCTGTGGCCAGTCAACCACCAAGTAGAGCCCACAAGCATTACTCCCTTTTAAAAGCTCCCAGAAGTGGCTGTTTGGCCTCACCTCCTTCTCAGCAGCTCAGGAAGAGCCAGGTTCAGACCTAGGCACACTTGCAGTAGTCCCCTCCAGTGTGGGCATTATTTGGATAGCAGAGGGCATAGGTCAGCCACTGGTATTGGAGGGAAAAGCTGTGTGGTTTGTCACCCTGAGGACTTGCAGGTTCAGGGCTCAGTTAAATTACGACTACGTAATCAAAGTTTGCTGAACAAATATGCCATTTCATGTAATATATTCCTTTAATACTAAACTATTAAAGGGATACTCATTCATAAAGGTACTGCACATATTTTTACTTATCCTTCAGATCATCACTCAATGACTTGATATTTGGAGAAAAATAGATTTCTTTAGTCTGTGTTGTCATTATTAAAAGACAAAGTTGATCAGAATAAATTTAGAGATCTAATTTTCTCTATTAAACAATTCATGAATTGGGCAGTATCCCATCCAGCAAGTAGAATGGTTATGCAAAGGGACCAGCACAAAATAGAAGGTTGTAATCGGCAAAGAGGGTGGGATAAAATCATTATTAAAAAAAGAGAAAGATTATTTTAAGCACATTTGGAAAGACCAGTCCTATTTTACATATTATTTCAGCAGTGCTGATCAGTGACTTTCAGATTGATTGGTTTATGATTACACTTTTGATAGAGGTTGAAACTGATTAAACCAGCCTTTAAGTCCAGGTGAGGACTTAATGAATGACTCCATTTTGGGCCTGTTTTTCCTTTTAAACACCATATAACCATATTAGATTCTGTTTAATGATCAGATTGTGCTCCTTGTCTTTACAAATTGAACAGCTAATAGGAAAAAGCTGGTTTGAATTGAGACAAATTTGTGCTCATAAACTAACTCTCCAATTTATCGATTGGAGATACTTGGATAGATACTTAAATTCTTTGGATCTCAATTTGCTCAACTGTATAACAAGGTTAATATTTCCGTCACTTTGTAGTTTCTGCCCACAAGTAAAACCTAGCTAAGAATCACGTATGACAAATTTTCATGTCCCCAAAGGTATGTTTTTTGACAGATCCTCCCAAATGAAGATTAGGAATGAACGATGAGGCTGGTTGCAAGGAATATAAAACGGAAGACTCCACCACCAGAAAGACAGACATTCCTGGCAACCCCCTCCATCACGAAATACTATGAAACTACCTCATTGTCCCTTCCAGGAGGTATTTTCTTTGGAAATGTTAGTTTTCCTGTGTTCTTTCCTTGTCACAAGGAAATAAATACTTATTCTTTGTGCTTTACTATTCTAGGAGACCCCTGCCCAATTAACTTGATTGTTCATTATAGGAATGTTCAGAAAAAGCTATCAATTCTTCGAGAGACCATTAAAAGTTTATGGCCTAAGACTCCTTCCCTCCTTACCTGGCTCTTTTTATCAATCTTAAAACTTAAGATCTGTATTCAATTGTAATCAGGCCATCTCTTACAATCCCCACCCACTCTCCAACTCTCCACCCTCTACTCATTAAAAGACCAGATTTAAACCTGTGAAAAAATGCACGAAAGGAGTCAATTTAAGATAGGGATAAAGTAAGTCATGGGAGAAAAAAACTCCTTTCTGTCCTCAAACTGAACTGAACCCTGGACTGGGCCAACCTGCGAACATTACAAGCAGCTAGCAAGAGTGAGAACAGTTTGAAAAGTAATGATAAAAGTGAATTTTCATCATGTCACCTTTTGATTCCTTCATGTGGGGAGTTATTTAACCATTACCTCATCCTTGTTTTACGCTCTGTAAAACACCCCCTTTCCAACCTGGGCCCTTCTTGGAACATTTGGATTTCTAACCTGTACTGTTTCCTGAACTGCAACTCTTTGATCCCAAATAAATACAGTTTGCCTTGTTAATGGCCTCCTGAATTTTTAATTAACAAACTATACTTCAAATTCTCAATAAAATTTACCTTCCCAGTCCAAGGCACTACCAAAACTGTTGAAGTGTTCTCCCTTACCACAGGAAACCATAAACTCAGCTTTGTCTTATCCAAAGGTCATATTCTGATATTTGGGAAGCAAGCGTTGTATAGGACAGTACAATTATAAGCAGAAAGCCGAGGCACAGAGATATACCCAGGAAAGACCAGAAATACTAGATGAATTAATGTCATTAATAAAGAAATGGGTTTGTAAAGACTATAGCAGGAAGTTTCCTTGCAAAATCCCACAGGTAGCCAGAGTTTTTGAGGAATTTCAGATTCACGTTGCAGTTTTTTATTCCCTTCCTCATTACAAAGATGTTCAAATGTCTCTGAATCAAAAAAAAAAACCATGGTATCTTTGCAGCTACCGAAAGTAATGCCAGGACAGGATGCCAAAGTGACTGAAGTTTTTAAATTACATATTTTCGACTGGAAATTCACATCCATCATCAACTTCACTAAGTGTAAGGAACGCTCATTTCTACAAACCCTTATCACGGCCTAGTGACTCTCCTCATGGGTAAGGCACACAAAGCTGTGGGGTGGGAAGGTGCGAAGGAAGCAACATGTGCTGGTCAAGGTTTACTTTTCACCCAGAGCGATTTATCTGGGTCGCATTCCCGACCCCCTACCCCGTTGGCCTCGGCAGCCTCAGCAGCTCCACAGGCGGGGCAGAAAGTGGCAGAAACAGGTTTTTTGCGGAACGTCCCTCCTTCTGACAGAAGACAGACCCTCCGCGGTGAAAGGGCTTCGGGGTGCAGGCGGCCCTCCCGCCAGTTTTCGGGTTCATACCTGACGAGCGATGGACCTGCGGAAGCCGCACGCCATGTCGCGTTCCAGGAAACATCCAGAAGCCGCCAGGTCCAGCGCCTCACCCCGCCCTCCTCTGCATGCCCCGCCTACTCCCGCCGGAAGCCCGCCCCGAGGGTGCGCCCAGCCAATCACGGAGCCGCAAGGCCACCGCTAACCTCTGCCCTGCTGCCGCGAGGGCGCGCGGGAAATCCCCAGCGGCTGGAATCCCGCGGGCGGCTGGGGCCATGGCCACTTCCTCGGTGTCCAAGGTACGTGCAGGCGGGCGGGCGTTTACTGGAGCTCCGCCGCCGTCCCGTTCCCCTCTGAAGAAGGAACCTAGCGGAGGTTACGTAGGCTTCGGGTGTACGGGCTCGAGGGGAGGGAGCGGTGGCGTCTTTGCTCCAGGTGCACTTGAGGCCAACTTTGCTTGGGGGAGCGAAGACGCTCGTCTGCCTTAGTGGTGTGGCTGGGAGTGTTGCAGAATTCTAGCCTTTTATCCAGGCAGAGGAAGAACAAGCGGTACTTCAGGAATGGTGAGGTCACGAGCAGCTTTATTACTCATGCATGAGGTCCCAGACCTGCGTAGCCCCGTAAAGTCTGAGCACCTGTTTAAAGACCAAGGGTTCCTTTTGTACACAACTGTCTCCACATCTGTTACATTGATAGCATCGTTTTTCAGCAGGCACACCACCAAAGTCCCTAGACAAGGTGGTGGGGGGGCAAGGCAAAGGGGGAAAGATGCACGCATTCGGGGATGGCCTTGGAGAGAGACCAGCTGGTTGGCTGTCGGCCCTTGTAGGTAAGAGTGCTTAGGTCCTGGCCATGAATCTTGAAAGGGAAGGAACTGTAAGTAAGCAAACTTGTTAATTATGCCTGCATTGGAGTGTTCATTGCACCTGGGCTGGAAGTTCTCCTGGAATCTTTATTATATTCATTTGCACAATAATATATTTTCGCTTTAGGAGAATTTGTAAGTCCTGCTTTGTGAAGGTCAGACGCCTCGAGGCTCTGGTCTAGTCTTCCCTCCTTTTTCCTTTTCATAAATATTTACTGTGCGCCAAGCATTTCATTAGCTGCGGAGATAATGTGGTAAACAAAATACTCGATTTCTGTACTCAAGAAAGGTGTTAAGCACAGATAATCACTAGTGATTATTGTTAGCTAATGAAAAAGTTCTAAGCGAGAGAACAGTAGAGCTACAAGACCCTAATATAATAGATTGCCTGAGGTCAGCGAAGGCATTTTGAAAAAAGTGACACATAGCTGAGACCTGAAAAATGAGTACAAGTTAGGCAGAGGATAGGGAGACTGTCCTACAGATAGACATATTCTTTGATCGAGAAGATAACAGGTAAAATGGCATATTAAAGGAATTGAAAACTTAATATAATCAGAATAGAAATAGAGGGAATGTTAGGAAAAAGAGAAAGAAAAAGTAGTGTGTTTGTATGTGTGAGAAAATAGAAGCGTCCTCATTTGGGCTGCCTGGATGATGGGGGATTTCGAGACATGATAGTGTAATTGGTAATGAGAGAATAAACTGGAGCTGTATTGGCTTGGTGTGGTGCCATTAGCAACAATTGGTTATTTAAATTTGAATTAATGTAAAATTAAATATTAAGTTCTTGAATTGCACTAGGCACATGTGACCTTGGCTACCATATTTGCACAGTTCTCTGATATTTCCATATCAAAAGTTCAGTTTGATAGTGCTGCTATAAACCAAGTGAACCCTTTAGTAAGATTATGAGTGCAGCCTAGAAGCCCCTGAAGTTAAGCTATTGCTATCCAAAAAGCTGCAAATGCAGATGAAGATGCTGCCAAGACTTTCTCCCTATGTTAAAACAGTAGATTAATGAAGAAGGCTATCCAGTGGATCTAATTTTAAATTTTGATTAAAATTAAGAGAAGTTAGGCTTTCCAAGACTATGTATCAAATAGGAACTACAAGTCATAGAGTTTAAGGTGATAGAGGATTGACTGATGGTAGGTACAGATGTCAAAAGCGATGTAACTGCTAGTATTATTTTTTATTAGGAATGGTACTGTTTTTAATTGATAATTTGCCCTGGTTATAAAATTCAATAGGTTTTGTGTGATCTGACCCCTCATTCTTTTTGTTGCATAAGCCTCATATTTTTATGTCTTCCAAAATTGTGATTTTTTTTTCCTTTTCTTTTTTTAAGGAAAACTTTTATGGCATTGTAACAGAAATGCTTGAAGTGAAATGCTTATGAAGTGGCCTTACATAAATAGGAATCTTAGAGAACTGTTTCATGGAACTGCCAGCTTTTTTTTGAAAATGTATCTAAACCTCTCTTTCTTTTTAATAGTTTCTGGGTGTTGGCTCTCCTAGACTTCTTCCTCTATCTCAAACACCATCTCTTAATCAGTATTTTGAAGTGGTTAACCATGCTACCTCCACCATATATTGGACCATTCCTGGCACTCTTCTATCTTATTCCTTTATATCTCCCTTTCCTTTACAAATTTCAGGTGAATATAAAAAGGCAGCAATGACATGTTTGCCATGGCATTGCATAATTTTTTTAAATACATATTTATATTTCAAATAGTCCCACTACTTGCAGATACAAGAGTACACGGCACAATTCTTATACTGTAACCTGTAATCACATGAGCACTTTATATTTGCACAGCTCTCTTTAGTACTATCCCAAGGGGACTTTTTCTAGTTATAATTTTTAAATTTTTTTACGGAAATGATAATCTTTAAGGGGCCTTCCCTGGTGGCACAGGCGGTTGAGCGCAGCACTGTGAAGCTGTCCGCAGCCTCTGCAGCACGAGTTCAATCCCCGCCAGCCAGCCAGATATCCAAATGGCACAGCAGACCTCTTCTGTCTCACCCACTGCTCCCCTCAGCAGTGTATTTCAGTCAGTCTGCCTGTTCTGTTCCCTGCTCTGTTTCTGGTGAATCCTCTCACCCTCCCGCACATCTGTCCTGTACCCTGGTTCTTGAATGCATGAATAAATAAATCTTAAAAAAAAAACGGTAATCTTTAAGAAACTGTCCATGATGTCTGGCTTTATGATTGGTAGAATAAACATAGAACTAGAAGTTTGGGGGCTATATATCACTAGTCAGATAATAAGACAAAACTAAATGCAGGAAAATTACTTGGCAAGTATTCATTCACTTCATATACTGATTGCCTAAAGTATATGTTAACACTGTCCTAAATATTGGGTAAAGTTATGAATTAAATGCAATTTGTGCTCTGACAATACTTCCAAGATTTTTGGGGAGGCAGACCCATAAATAACTATGACATACAACAAAAGTTATTTACAAGAGCAAAACAAAGATATTCATCTTGGGATTAAAGACCTCAGGGGAAGGAATAATTCTGACTAGAGAACTGGGGAAGGTTTCCCAGAGTGGTTGAGTTTGATTCAAACTGAATTAGATAAATGAGTAAGAGTTTATCAGATGAAGAAAGATATGTAAAGTGAAGCAATGGCCAAAATTATCTACCTCCTGTCAAGGGTATAGATATTTGGAGTCTAGTTAAATAACAAGTAATTTGGAGATTGGAGAGCATAACAATTTTTTTTTAATTTTCTTGATCTTCATATTAATTATTAGTACTGATTCTCTTCTCTAAGTTTTATAAAAATGCAACTTTTCCAGGCTTAAATTTCATCAGCCTTTATTTTCTTTGCTGTGTAGATCAGGTCCCAAAAAAAACAAAATCAAAGATAAGCATCCCATGAGAAGGTGGTGAAAGAAATGGATAGCCCCTTTGTTTAAGAATTTTCTTTCTATAATTCAGATGAAGAGATGTGATTTCTTAGCATTTTGCAAAAAACAACTTTAATAAAAATCCTCTTTCCTGTAAACTTTTTGGTTATCAGATTTGTCTGCTCCTTGGCTACTTTGACTTTATGCTTTTTTTTTTTTTCTGTCTTTTTAAAGGGCTGTTTTGTGTTTAAGCCAAACTTCAAGAAGAGAAAGATCTCTGTCCCAGTAGGTAAGCTGACTTAATAATAATGTGTTAAATTTCCTCTCCTAGATCTTAAACATTAAGAACTAAACTAACCCTAATTGAATTTACTAGAATTTGCTAGTCCTCTTGTCGAAGCTTGGCTTACTTATTTTGTTGACATCACAAATGTAGGTCAAGGGATAGTATCCCAGGGTTCTAAGAGGGAATCCAAATATACCTTCAAAAAGCAAAATGGGAAAATACATTTTCCTCAGAGGATATGTAACATTTTTTAGAAAGATTATCTTAAAATCTCAGTGCTTTCCTAGGGTGAGGTGGAGTGGAATTGACTGCAAAAGGTCAAGAGGGACATTTGGAGTAATGGCTGTGTTCTCTAGATCGAGGGGGTAAGTTACTCGAATGTACATTTTTGTTAGGATATACCAAACTTAAAATCGGCATGTTTTATTGTAAGTTATATCTTAGTAAAATTAAATTACTAAGAAATTCTTTCCTTTTTTTTTTTAAAGATTTATTTATTTAGAACTGGGGTACAGGCCAGAGGTGCAGGGGGTGAGAGGATTCACCAGAGACAGAGTAGGGAACAGAACAGGCAGACCGACTGAAATACACTGCTGAGGGGAGCAGTAGGCGAGTCAGGAGAGGTCTGCAGCACCATATGGATAGCTCCTTGGCTGGGGATCAAACTCGTGCTGCAGAGACTGCAGATAGCTTCATAAGCTGTGTTAACCTCTTGCCACCAGGGAGGCCCACTTCCTTTACTTCATTTATTTCCTGATGTCTGTTTAGTGATCAAGTTAAGACTTCTTCGAAGAAAACACAATATTATTGTCAGAAAGTATTTATTGCCTTGGTTCCCAGTGATGAGTGCACATTAAAATCACTTGAAGTTTTAATTTTTCCTCCCAATATAGTTATAGTTCACTTGCAAGAAACAAAGAATTCCCCTGTAACCTTCCCCCATTTATCTCCATTTTGTATAATATAGTACAGTATCCCAACCAGTAAACCAGTATTGCTACAACCCACCAACCTTCCTTGTATCAATTCAGGGAACATTTTTAAGATACCAATACCCATTGTCTAACCAGATCAACTCTGAGAGTAGGATCCAAGTGTTTGTATTTTTTTATAAGCTCATCACAGGTTGAGTATTTTTATTCAGTATTCAGCACTGTGAAGATTAATTTCAATAGAAAAAGTATGCAATGGAATTAAGCATACTCATGCACTAGTTTTGAATTTAAAAAGAAAAACTGAGCTATGTCACTGCTTGACTAAATAATAAATAACTTGAATATTTAGGAGTTTTCTAAAGCATCACATGATGCATATCTTACAGTAATCTTCAGTTTGAGATAAGCTAGATAAGAGACCTGTGTTCAAGAAGAAAATAATAAAATATTGGTTCATAATGAGGGAAACTATGAGTAGAAAATCTGACTTACAAGAATCCATTTTCTCATTAACAGGAAATAAATAGTAATCTTGAACTTCGCAGCCTTATAGACCTACTCTCAGGAAAACCTGATGTTTTCTGTTCCTTACTCTTCTCTCTTCCCAAAAGGAAAAGTGACAGTGATGAACTCAGAAATGGTAGACAAAGAATAGCTCCATTATAAAGTCTCTTATTTTTAAGTAATTGAGTTACAAACATATTTCTTTAGTGTTCTTTAGGATATTACTAAACTTAACTAAAAATAGTTCATTTTCAGAGAAAATTCAAGACTGTTTCCCCTTGTAATATTTGATATCATTAACAATGTTATTGTAATAAAATAGCTAACATTTGTTTATTATATTTATTGTTTAGTCCTCTTAGCAAACAATGAGGAATGTATTATTATCTCCATTAAAAAAAAGGAATCTATCTATCTATCTAATAGCAGAACTGGGATATGAACCTAGGCTGTCTGATTCTAGAGCCGGTACTCTAACCATTTCTTAATGCTGCCTCTCACTATTGAGGCAAGTTTTTGCTTAGAACTCTGCATTGAGTTTCAGCTACAATTTACTAAGATCTGTTTGTTTTAGTATTCGGAAACTTAATGTGTGTAATTTTATAATTTAAGCTTTGCTTTAGAAGGACATTGTGTGTGTGTGTGTGTCTAAGAGCAACAGATACTGGCATAATATGAGAATTTTAGAGGAACCAACCTTGATTATAAGACAGATGGAGCAGAAGTGAGGAAAATACACCCAGATTTTAGCACTTGCCTTCACTGGCTTCAATTTTTGAAACAGATTGCTTGAAGAAATAGGAAGATGCTCTGCATTTTCCCCACCATCTGTTTACTGACTTGAAGACACTTGGGCATATACTAAGAGAAGATTGGTAACTCTCCTTCCCCTCAGTGTACGAATGGTTGTACCTCCTAGAAAACAACTGGGCAGGAACTTGTAGGGGTGGTACAGAGAGAGGGAGAGAGACCCTGTCAGTGAAGTAAAACACTGAGTGGGAACAGGAGGGAACCTGACAACAGTGATTGCTTACATTCCCCAGCACTTCCCAAGGCTTTTATTTTTTTTAACCTATCTGATCTATAAATGACTGAGAGAAGTCATGGTAACAGTTTAAAATGCCCTACTGCTGTTGTTTTTCAATTTCTTCCTTTTTTTTTTTTTAAGATTTATCTATGTATGTAACTGGTGTACAGGCCAGGGGTGTGGGTGTGAGAGGATTCACTAGAGTGGGGAGCAGAACAGACAGATTTGACTGAAATACACTGCTGAGGGAAGCAGCAGGCGAGACAGGAGAGGTCTGCTGCACCATGAGGGTAGCTGGGGAAAGCTTCACAGTGCTGTGCTCAACCCCTTGTGCCACCAGAGAGGCCCTGTTTTTCAATTTCTAATAGTTCTTTTGTTAGGTATTTTGATGTGGCATTACTCAGGAGATAAATTCATGTCTTGATTTGCCACTTTAACATTTTATTGTGGTTTTATTCATTATCAAAGTTATTTCTGCTTTATCTAATAGTAATATTGTATCTCCTTGCTTTTTCTTTGTTCATATTTTTTATACCATAACTTTATCTAACATTTAACTGTGTAATGACTTAAGTATATTCTAAGACTCTTGATACAGTTGAAAATCATTATTTGCTAAAATCTGTATCAATATGACTAGGAGAGCGTTCTTAATGTGGATGAGACTTTCTGTTCCAAAATACCAGTTAACATATAAAGCTATGATCCAATACTAGAAGAATCTCAGTAACAGTAGAAGTAAAAGATATACTTCACATCATTATTTAATCCTGTGAAATTCCTAGCTATTATAATAAAATACCGAACAATAAAAAATAAGGAAAGTAGAAAACAATAAGGAAGTAACACAATTGGTTATAGTTTTGGATAAGTTTTTAACATTAAAAATACCACTTCTGGGCCTCCCCGGTGGTGCAGCGGTTGAGCGCTGGGTTACGAAGCTGCCCGCAGCCTCTGCAGAGCCGGTTCGATCCCCGGCTGCTCCCCGGCCACCGGAGGAGGGTCCCACATGGCGCGCAGACCTCTCCTGCCGCCCGCTGCTCCCCTCAGCAGTGTACTTCAGTCCTTCTGCCTGCTCTGCTCCCCGCTCTGGCTCTGGTGAATTCTCTCACCCTCCCGCGCTTCTGACTGTACCCAGTGCTTGTATAAATAAATAAATAAATAAATAAATCAATCAATCTTTTAAATAAATAAATAACCACTTCTCCCCCAAATCAATCTACAGATTTTATTTTATCCAGTCAAAGTACCAATATAATTATTTTTTGAAACAAAAATTGTCTGCAAAAAGATGATTGGTGGTGATAGTAGGAGGAAGACCTGAGTTTATGTAACATTAAAATGGACAACAAAAAAACTACAGTAATTAAAGCACATCAGGACTGATATGGGAATAGAATAGAATTGGATTCAATAGTACAAAAGAAAAATTCAAAAACTCCCCAAATATGTGTAAGTAGTGATGTTACCGCGAATCAGCGGGAGAAGAGATGGATTATTTAATAAATTAATTATTTTTCAAACTCAAAGTTATAACCCAAGTGTGATGACATCTGTTTACTGGGTCATTATCAAAACATAACAGAAAAGAAAACATTTGCTATCACATGATAAGGATAAGTATAGTTCTGTGAAACTTATGCTTTTGTTTTTGTTATATGTATGTGTATTGGATTATGAGGTAAGACATACTCCTTATTGTGGATCATGGTTTGAAAACCAGTGCAATAAATGATATTTTGATAAATGACTATCCATATAGAAGAAAAATTTTAGAAAAGATATAAAATATATAGCTAGACTAAATAAAAGACTGGGCTAGACTAAGTTAAACAAATCAGCAAAATAGTATTAGGAGTCATTTGATGAAGGAGAATACACAGTAAATATATGAAGCAAAGTATAAAAGGCCTTAGCTTAAGAACATATAGTGAAAATAGTTAATATTAAAGGTATTATCTCAAACTAGAATCATTAAATAAAACTTACAAGTTCAAAGGTAAATGATAGAAATGTAATTAAAAATTTAAAGGTACAGTTAATATGGTAAAATATATAAAATTAAATGCAAAGGGTATTTAAATGTTACCTTTCCTCAAATATATATATTTTTGTACATATATAAAAAATATTCTACGCCGTGAATAACTTTGCACAAAGATTTTCTAACTTGCATTATATAAAAACGGATACTGACCTATTTCTGTGTTTTTAGAGAACTATTTTAATAAAGGGAAAAATGAATCTGAGGACAGTAAGCTGCGATTTGAAACTTACCAGTTGATGTGGCAGCAGATGAAATCTGAAACTGAGGTGAATATTATTTTTTAGTAATTTAACATTTATACTACAGACCTATTTGTTGCTTTCCATTTACCTTTCCACCAATTTATTTTTTTTAAAGAGTCATTTTTATTTATTTATGCATACAACAATTGGGGTGTAGGCCAGAGGTGCAGGGGATGAGAGGATTCACTAGCAATAGAGCGGGGAGCAGAACAGTCGGATCTACTGAAATAACACTGCTGAGGGGAGCAGGGGGAAAACAGGAGAGTTCTGTTGTGCCATGTGGATTAGCTCCCTGGACATTGTAGCTGACAGTAGCTTGATAGTGCTGAGACTTCAACCCCTACACCAGCAGAGAGGCCCTTCCACCAATTTATAAGAGTGTTGATGAAATATAGGTAATACTGGCTAAATATAATCTGTATAATCTTCAGAAAAAAACAAAACTCTGGCATGTTTCAAGTATTATGTGTAGCTTCAGGTACTGGAACATATGTTTATAATAATAGCTGCAAAGCAAAATGTCTTGTATATACCTATTTTGCATATGTACTTTTCAATGGTGGCAGTCTTTAAATTACTCATTAAGTTACACAGGTAAGAAACCAAGCTATTTAGAAATTATTTTTATCCTCATGTTTTCACTTCCAATACTCATATCCATTTACCTTACTCTTTATATTCCAACTCTGAAAAATTTCTCCACTACATCACATTTGTAGCTCTAGAGCCAACGTTTGAGTGGACTTGTTTGGCCATCACAGTGCTATATTTTTTTGTTTGCTTTTTTTAATGCCTTGGGGAGAGTGATGAACTTTCCATTCTTTATTGCTTTATACTTACTGGCTTTGCTATTCCATGTGACTCTTGAAGTTATTTGAATTTGTGGCTTCTAATTTAAGGCGAACTTGTTTCCTAACCTGAATTGTCATACTACCCTCCTAATCGATATCCCTACCTCTGATGTCAAATCCTTCAGTTCTGTTACTAGCCTCTATAGCACCATTAGTTAAATGAAAAAGTTTTCTATCGTGTACAGCCCTATACCAAGCTACAGAGATTTTTCTAGCCTTTCTACCAGTATAGCTTTTTCAATATCCTTTAATCTGGACTTCACAGTGATGCCAGAAACCCGGGTTTAAATTATATGTCTGTTTCAAATTCCATTAGTGGTTCTCTTCACAGGAAAATACCCATACCCTTTACATTATATTGGTTGTGGTCTGTCTCCTTGCTTATTTGTCCAGTCTCATCCCCTGCCACTTCTGTAAGCTAGGATATATCTGTTGTTCTCCAGATGTTTGGTGCTTCCTTCCTTCCTTGGCTCTTCCACTCCCCATTCTTTAATCTGTTTTTTTCCTACAGTCATCTCATCTATCAAATGCACTAGTGCTTTGGCTCAAATATATCACCTCCTCAACTTAAGTTGGATGGCCCTACTCTTTGTTCCTTTATTATGATAACATTACACAGTGTATTTTATTTTATTTATTTTAAAAAATATTTATTTATACAAGAACTGGGGTACAGGCCAGATGCGTGGGAGGGTGAGAGGATTCACCAGAGACAGAGCGGGGAACAGAACAGGCAGACTGACAAAATACACTGCTGAGGGGAGCAGTGGAAGAGACAGGAGAGATCTGCTGCACCATGTGGGATTCTCGCCAGCCAGCCAGGATTGAACCCACGCTGCAGAGGTTGTGGAGAGCTTCACAGTGCGGCACTCAACCGCCTACACCACCAGGGAGGCCCTACACAATATATTTTAATTGCAAGTATTATTGCTCAGTTTCTCTGCATTTTTAGAGAACACATTTTATTTGTAAGGTGATTAGCAATGTTTGTTGAATGAGTTAAGTGAAATTCTTTAATGTGAAAATCTAAAGCACTAATCATTGAGATTTAAGGAAAAATCATTTTTTAATTTCACCCATCTTATAATCGTATTACATGTGATCTTTGGGGTAGAACTAATGTAATGTTTTTCCCCCAAACTGGGAAAGAAACATCACATTTATACTAATAATAATTCATGAAATTTTGTTTTCTTTCAGCAACTACAAGAGGAATTAAATAAAAACCTGTTTGATAGTCTAATTGAATTTCTGCAAAAGGCTCATTCTGGTTTCTGGAAGAATTCAAGAGACTGGGGCTGTCAAATAAAACTCAGAGAAATTCCAACTGCTGCTCTTGTTATAGGTATCTATGTATATGTGTTTGTTTTTTATTTGGTGGTTTTGTTGAGCCTAGAGTAGATTAACTTGTTCTGGTAAAATATAATTTTTTTCCTCTTTAATTATAGAATTAAAACAACTGCTATTTGCTGTGCATACTTATAAAACCAATAAAAATTCCTTATACTGATTTATATATCTCTAAATTAAAAGAGATTCATGTGGGATGAGCTAGTACCCTCCACCTGTTCTGTCAGAAAAGTGGAAGGAAAATATATTTGTGCTATTCTTTTTTCCTTAGTTAATTTAGGAAAATATATAAAATTTGAGTAAAGTGATAAATTACCAGTATGTTAATTGCTTTTTATGCTTTTTTCTGTCATATCTTCAGTGGAATTTCTCTATGGCCTTAGTTTTATTTCCCTTTGCCTAGTTTATCAATCTGGAACTGTTTTGTAATGTGTATTAACTATTTAGAAGAGGATTTGGATTAATTTTTTATAATTGCTTTCAGACTGGAAGTTGCAAGCTTTTTAGGTACTTAAGTATTTTTCTAATATCTCATTTTATTTTATTTTTCCTAATATCCCATTTTATTTTATTTTTCCTAATATCCTATTTTAAACAAATATCTTGGTTGTAGGATAATGGAAGAAATTTCATTGAAAATTTGAAAAGGTAGTTGAATTCGATTCCAAACATCATCTTTATTTCACGTCCAAGTTATTTATTCAGGTTTTGTTATATAGTGGGCTCTCAGATAAGAAATTAATTTTATTGTTTAATGCTGTCGCTAAAACTATTCATTGCCTACATCTTATCCAGAGTAGTACTTCTCAAACTTTAATGTTCCTACAGATAAACTCCAGGGGATCCTAGTGAATGCAGAATTTCATTAATATATCTGGGCTGGGGACTGAAATTCTATATTTCTAACAGGTTTCCTGCTGATGCCCACTGTGCTGATCAAAGGACCACATTGATTAATAAGATTCTCATAATGTGATTAATGTATCTCTATGGTACAACCTGCCTTGATTTCAAAACCTTTTCTACTTCTATATGAGAAACTGAGGCCCAGTGATGACTTGCTTGTACTTTTGGGTGCTTTATGTCTCTTCATCAGGTTACAGCATTCAGAAATGAGCACAGGACACAAGAGGGATGCCCTGATAGATTGCTGTGAGAACATTGTTTAAATCCCTTTTCTGCCTATTGCCAAAGGGAGAAAAGAAGCTAATGGAAATCATATTTCAAAGTCAGTGGTTGAAGAGAACATTTTTCCAGTTAAAGATGTTGATTGTCTTGTTTTCAATAGACAAATCTGTTGTTTTAAGTTTATAAAGTTAGTGAAAGATAAATCGGTGTTTTGCTAAACTCCTGAATTTGTTCAGACATACAGTATCATAATAACAGGCCCTAATGCCTGCTAGAAATACTTTTGATAGATCAAAAAAAAAAAATCTATACACAAAAATTGCTTAAACACAATTACACATTTTTTTTTGTTTTCAAAAAGGTATATGACCATTTAAAAAACAGCCTGCTAACATGTATTTGCACACTGATAGCCTGGATGATTCTGGACCTTTTTTTTTTTCCCCAAGCAGTTGAATTTTTATGGTAGCAAATATCAAGCAATTTTAAGATGCCTGCTGCTGGTTCTTGCTGAAGCATAAAAGCACTTTCTAGATTATGATATTAGGGAGCATATCAGTTAATAAAATATTTCCCAAACTAATGGGTAAATGTCTGCTCAACTCCAACTTCAGGCAGAGCACTTAAATACTAATAGGTGGAAATAAGAACACAGGATTCAATAAATACCAAAAGGAACTAGAGTTTTAATTTTTTTTTTAGGTTCTCCCCTCAGATCAGTGTAGTTACATTAAATTTACCTGATCATCAGTAGTATTAATGACTGAATTCTCAATTCTTTTTAAAGATTTATTTATGCATACAAGAACTGGGGTACAGGCCAGAGGTGTGAGGGGTGAGAGGATTCATCAGAGACAGAGGGGTGCAGAACAGGCGGACTGACTGAAATACACTGCTGAGGGGAGCATTGGGCAAGGCAGGAGAGGTCTGCTGTGCCATGTGGGTTGCTTCCTGGCCAGGGCTGCAGATAGCTTGACAGTGCTATGCTTAACCCCTGGCACTACAAGGGAGGCCATGAAATCTCAGTTAAGCCAGTATGACAATAAGGCTAGAATCTATAGTCCCTTGTTTTAGAATGATTATTTAAAAGAGCTCTGTGAATTTGACAAAGTGATAAAATTATTCCTAAGATGTATTCAAGAGTTAACTACACCTCTCCAGTAATTTTTTAAAAAAGATAGATTGATTGATTGATTGATTGATTGATTTATGCAAGTACTGGGTACAGTCAGAAGTGCAGGAGGGTGAGAGGATTCACCAGAGCCAGAGTGGGGAACAGAATAGGCAGAAGGACCGAAGTACACTGCTGAGGGGAACAGTGGGCGGCAGGAGAGGTCTGTGAGCCATGTGGGACCCTCGCCGGCAGCCGGGGATCGAACAGGTGCTGCAGAGGCTGCGGCAGCTTCGCAGGCCAGCGCTCAACCGCTGCGCCATCGGGGGAGGCCCTCCAGTAATTTTTTTAAAAGACAGATTTTTGCCTTCCCATAATACACTGTCTTACCATAATACACATATATATTAAGTGTGCCTCTATTGTTAATGTTTTAAAATTTTTTAGTAATTCACCTGATGTGTTAAACAGCTTTTGCTTTGTTAAATTATTTTTAATAAAAATGATGGTGTTATATTGATGTATTATCCCATAGGTGTGAATGTAACAGATCATGATTTAACATTCAGAAGTCTCACAGAAGCCCTTCAGAATAATGTCACACCATATGTAGTCTCATTGCAAGCTAAAGATTGTCCAGGTAAAGTATGAAGGTCATCATAACCTTAGAGAGATGTTACAAATCTCATCCATTTCCCCTCCTCCTTCTCTCTCTTCCCCTTTTTTTCTCTTTGTGGGAAGAACACACTACATTTTTGACAAGGCGAGGTTTTATACCTCACAGAGTAATCTTGACTCTTGTAGGACTCTGCCACCTTTTGCTTTGCTTGTTAATGACCCTACCCCTGCCATATCAGTTTCCCTACCAGTAATAGTCCCAGTATTTTACAAGATGTGTTCCTTAACCCAGTGAGATTTTAATTAGTAGAAGGTTTTGACAGGGAACTGAGCATTGAGGGATGGGGAGCTTTATTTAACTCATCAGAGAGGTAAACTATGTAGGTCTTATATTAAAGCCTCAAATCACCATATTAACTTGCTTTGAAAGGCCACCACGGTAAAAATGGCCCATTGGCAGAACTAATCCCAGGTATTTGAAGCCATTCAGTCATAAAGATGTGGACACTAATGTAGTAAAATGTTCACATTTGTATTGTTAAATAAGGGCTTTATGTGCTTATTTCACTTTCATATTCATAAGCTGATTGAAATTAAATAAAAGCCCATAGGTCATCTTTAAAAATGACCATAAGGCAGAATTGTAATCAGAAAAAATAGTTTATGTAGGCTTTTCATCTTTTGGGGGGGGGGAGGGACTTTTAAAACTTTTCATTGCTCAGTATAAATGCATATTATTCCTAGTATAACTTAGTTTTTATGTGTACATACTGGCCTAGGTAACACTTACTCTAGACAGTACATAAAAGTTTTGCCCTGCTGTTAATTTGATTTAATGAAATTTAAATAATGAGGCTGTTAATGGACATTAATGCTTAATATGTTAAATGTTAGTGATATTAATGCTAAGTATAGAAAAACACATTCTACCCAAATAATGTAACATACTAATCAAGAAGTTTCAGGGGTTTTTAGATTTGTTTTAAGGGTAATAAGATTTATCTTTCATATTCTGCAGATATAAAACATTTTTTGCAAAAACTGGTCTCCCGGTTGATGGATTGCTCTATAGATGTAGAATCCAAAGAGGAGGGAAATGTTCAGCTCACCCAGAAAAAGCCACATTGTTCAATGGATTCACTTACCAGTTGGTATAAGAGTGCCACGCAGGTAAATGTAAATTGACCATTTTCTCCCAGAAAATTAGCACATGATGAAGAGACTTGGAATTACGTTAAACCTATGTTTGTTTTTTTCTAATAAGGATATGCTTATGCAGATTAGCTATTAGTTCAGTAGTAGCTACTTTCTTTTTCTAAGGCTACTAGAATTTACAAGCATTCTTTTATTAGTATATAACCTAATACTTTGTGTTTAAGTTCTTACAAGGCAATTTAATTTGTGGAAGAATGTCATCTAATGACAAAAGCAGCATTACTTCTGTGGCACATTCTATCTCTATGACAATAGCTGTACCTCAAATGTGTTATCTCTTAGGTTCCTCAATATTAGTTTTTGTGGGCCTCTCCGGTGGCACAGAGGGTTAAGCACAGTGCTGTGAAGCTGTCCACAGCCTCTGCAGTGCGGGTTCGATTCCCGGCTGGCCAGGGAGAAACCCACTGCAGACCTCTCCTGCCTCACCTGCTGCTCCCCTCAGCAGTGTCTTCCGTCTGTCTGCCTGTTCTGCTCTCCACTCTGTCTCTGGTGAATTCTCTCACCCTCCCGCGCCTCTGACTGTACCCCAGTTCTTGTATAAATAAATAAATCTTTAAAAAAAGGATTAAAAATTTTAAAAAATATTTGTTTTTGTGCAGTAGAACCATGCTCCTAGTATCCATTGTCAACTAAGTCTGATCAGGAATAATCACTTTTTCAAAAAAGTCTAATTTGTTTAGAATTCTTGGGGACTGAGTGCTCTGTAAGAAAAATATGTTGAACAAACAATAAATAAAAAGAATTACCATTCTATGATGACAGTATCTGGTAAAAATGAGTTGCCTACATGATTCATGGGTAACTGTGCCATAGAACCACAGTCTTAGTTTATGATATATAGCCACTATGGGAAAAAATACTGTGGTGACATTTTCTGAAGAACACATTGCTGAAATCATCATAAGTGATATTTCATTTCACTTTATATAGGGATTTAACTGGCTCTAATGCTTGCCATAGTATCTTAATGCACAGTTTCAGATTTACTAGAAATCAAACAGTATTTGCAATTTATGTCAGATATCATTAAAAGATTAGGGTTGGGCCAACTTATATTTAAAATGCTTTTCAACATGAAATTTCATCGTAGTGCAGCAGCAACTAGTGTTATTTATTAGGCCTTTTAATTAAAAATTCTAGTTCTCACCGAAAGCACAGCGAAATATGACTTTCTGCCAGCGGAAAATCAATTTTATAGAAAATGTTCTCTTCCCCTCATGCATTTCCTGTCATTTCCTTAGCAGAAAATATAAATATTTCATATGAGTTATAGATTGTACTGAACCTTTTCTTCCTGGTTATTATTCCCGTGTCAGACACTGAAAGATTCTGTTAGTAACTGTTGGAATGTTTCTCTTTATTATGTGGGAGAAATAAAAAAATAAAGCAATGTTTTTGTCAAATGTAAAGGAAACTATATCAACATGTAGTATTATAACATTTATTTGGGTGATAAGACTTACTTTTAACTCATTCTTTCCACAATGGTTTAAAAGAAGACAGACCCAAAATTACCAAGGAAAAAGAGGACTACTTCTAGCCAATGGCAATTTCCTCCTGTTGTTCTTATCTTAAAGGATCTGGAAAGCTTTACCACAAAAGTACTCCAAGACTTCATAATTATTAGCAGGTAGATGGTATATCATCTGAATTTTGTGCAAAATTTTCTTTTTATTAAGAAAACATAACTTTAAAAGCAAATTTCTTCAAAGAAAATGAATGGCAAATACATCTTTATTTTATTACCAACTTGATAGAAACCAATATGATTTCATTCCTTGTACTTGAGTGTTCATAGACCACCTATGAGAATTTCATTTGCTTTTTGCCCCAAGAATGAAAATCAAAAGATTAAGGCTAACCAATTTTTCTTAGCATAAGATAGTATGAAATGCAGTTTTTCTCAAGGTTGTCTGTCCCTTACTTGTTCAGAAATGGATAAACTATTCCAGGTTGAGGTATTTTTGTCAGATCTTGTTTTCTGGTATGTTTCCACCCTTAGAGACTCTTGAGTTACATGTAACTCAAGATGTTTCCTAAATAAGGATGTTTCCTAAATAACATTTTAAAATATAATATAGATAATATTATATATAATAATTGCAGTGAGAGACTACTTTCATGATCTCATTGGATTTTCAAAGCTATCCTGTGAGACTCAGAGTTGAACTAATTAATCCTAATTTAAAATCCAGTCAGATGCATTTCCCATGGTACATTTTTTAGGATATAATTTATTTTGGCTTCATTTTTATTTTAACTTCCTTAATAGTTTTGGCTACATTTGTTTAAAGTTATATTGTATTATATTTTATTAACATAATTCCTATTTTGATGAGTATCCTTTTTTTTTCCCATTGATATTAAAATTTCTGGATACTGAGACAGTGCTAAGATTGAACTATGCACAGTACAGAATAGTGACAGCAAAGTAGTACTTTTTTGAAGTTCAGAATTTTGACCACTTTAATCATCAAAAGTATTGAAGAAGATCTTAGAACAGTAAGAATCCAGACACTTTATTGACTTCAGAGCCAGAACATCTAGGAAATAACTATATGTGTCTTAGTAGTTATTAAGCGAGTGAGTGACGTGGAAATTTCAGTACTTAGAATGCTGCTTGACATTGCCTGATGAGAGACACTGAAATAAAGGTTATTTAATTAATACGATGTACTGAAACATATTCCCTAAAGAAATTCCACTCTCATATTTTCCTTTGAAAACTAGTCAACATCTACATGAATTTCCACTGATACTCATTTTTGGAATCGCCACATCTCCTATTATCATCCACCGGTTGCTTCCTCATGCAGTATCATCTCTACTGTGTATTGAACTATTCCAGTCTTTGTCTTGCAAGGAGCACCTGACTACAGTACTTGATAAGGTAAAACATTTTACTGGTGAAATAGAATGAAAAGGAAACTGCCAAAAATATATTGTAAAAATAAATGATAGTGGTGAATTTCTACATCTCTCATAGTATGATATTGAACATATTTCATCAGTTTATATTTAATGATTTTTATAGGAGTATAGTATTGCCTCTTCAGATAAAATATAAGCTTATGAAAAGGATAGTATCTGTCTCTACCAACTTTATACTGTCAATCATTGTTCAATGAAAAACTATAGATTTTTAGAAGAAACCATTACAGAATTTAGGCTTCCTAATAACAATAGTAGTGTTTTGAATCTTACAACTTATATAAAATGATTTGAAGTTTTTAGTGAACTCTTCTGTCATGCTGCTCTTGACAAAAAATAAATACTAGCATTTTCTCAGACCTTGCCTCTATATTTCTATATAGACAGACATAAGATTCTGTAGTTTTGATCTTCCACAAATTGATGCTTCACTCAGGACTTTTAAGGTGTGTTTCATACTTCTTTTGTAAGGTAAACTAATGACAACTCTTCATTTGTTTTACTTTTTTTTTTTTTTCTATAGAGGTGTTAGCCATCATTTTATTAACATTTTAGGGAAAATTTTTCCAACTTCAGTGTTTGAAATACTTAGTTATGTTCAAATTCAGTTGGCTTTTTCATAAAAGCTGCTTCTCTATATTAATGTGCATCAATAGAGGTGGAAATAAATCTTATTTGATAATAAGTGTTACCAAAGCCTGAGGTGGGAGAGAAAAAAAAATTGTATAGTCAAAAAGCAGTATTTTTTTGAGTTACAATTTATATAGAGGGTGATAAACATCTTTGATTCTGAAGATGTAGTATGAATAGCTTCTTTTTTGTTGTTACTGTTGTATCAGTTTTAAAAAGTCCTTGCTATTTGACCTTAAAAACGCATTAACTATTATAGCTTTCTTAGTTACTGTGCCATACTATCATTCTTACTTATATTTGATACTTATGAAGCATAAAAACTAACAATGAGTGTGTCCTTCCTTTTATCTCTTTTAGCTACTTCTTACAACTCAGTTTCCCTTTAAACTAAGTGAGAAAGTGTTACAGATTCTGACCAACATTTTTTTGTATCATGATTTCTCAATTCAGAACTTTATAAAAGGACTTCAGGTAAGAGGACACAAATGGATTGAAAATTGACAAGCTGATTCTAAATAATTTGCATGTTATTCTTAATTGATTAGTATCCAGATGTTAAATATTTTTGGCTTAGCTACACATTATGCTACACATTACACATTATATGTTCTCTGTTGCATATTCTTTTTCTTAAATAACGCTTTAAGTGTGAAAAACATTTCATAGGCAATGTAAAATTATATTTATTTTTATAACATTGACAATACATTTCTGAATTGTTAGAAGAAATTCTGAATTCTGAATTTTGAATTGTTAGAAGAAAATCCATTAACTTAGCTTCATAACATCTGTTGTAATCTAAAAAATGGATCTTATTCTCTAGTTGTTTAAAGTTAACATTATTTCCTTCTGTTGACAACTCTCTAAACTGCCATAGCAAAGTGTAATCATTGTGAACACACTCCAGTTGTCAAGTTCATTAAAACCTACATATTAGTGACCTTCAGCTCAAAAGGTCACTAATATGATAATACCTCATACTATGGGAGGGCCATTGTGGTGGTAGCACTGAGACTTTACCCCTAAGCCACCAGGAAGGCCCTAATATGTCTTTTTTTTTTCAACTTACACTTTTAAAAATGAGTATTTTGAGGGGGCCCTCCGTGGTGGCACAGAGGTTAAAGTCTCAGTGCTATCAAGCTATTGCCAGCCACGGAGGCATGAGTTCAATTCCTAGCCAGAGAGTTTACCCACATGGCACAGTAGACCTCTCCCTTCTCGCCACTATTCCCCTCACCAGTGTATTTTATTAGATCTAACTGTTCTGCCCGCCTCTCTGTCTCTGATGAATCCTCTCATCTCCGGTACCTCTGGTCTCTACCCCAGTTCTTCTGTGCATAAATAAATAAAAATATATATTTAAAAAAATAAAAATGAGTATTTAAAAATAAGAAAACATTAGTTTCAGCAATATGTAAAATTAAATGATATTAAGATATAATAATTTGCCAATTTATTTCTCTCATTTCATTCATTCATTCACTTACAAATATTTACCAAGAGCCTACTATGAGCCAAGTACTTTTCCTGAGCCTTGGAGATGCAGAGGACAGAGATATCTTTGCCTTCAAATTGCTTGTCCTTTAGTAAAGGATACAGAAGAATAAACCCACATTTACATTTCTGAATAGTCAGTGCTATGAAAGAAACATGCCTGGGCATTCCATAGTTGGAAGTGTATCATAAGGAGTAGAAGCCTGCCAACACACAATAGGAAGAACATTCCAGATAAAAGCAACTGTGGGAGAAAAGAGGGCTATTAGAAGAGTTATTGTAGTAACTAGACAAGAGCTAGTTACAGTGAAGCTAGAAAAGAGGAAACTAATCTGAGGATGACATAGAATTGACAAAATGTGTGGACTATGTGGATGTGTAAGAGAGAACCATAGATGACAGACATACAGGTTCTATTTTGCCAGATGGATTGGAAGTTAGTATTTATTAATTATACATACTAATGCAAAGCAGAGTCAGTTAGAAAAGAATGAGTTTCTTTGTAAATATGGTTAACTTAAGCATATTTTGATGTAAAGATTTAGCAGTTGAGAATTATTTGGACTAGAAATACTTAGGATTTATCAAAGATGTTGGTTGAAGTCATGTAATGAGGGTGAATCATCACCCAGAGAAATGAGGAAAGGATTAAAGGTCAAACCCTATAAGAGTGAGCAACAGAAAAGAAAACTAAAAACAGTATGGAAAATGAATAGAAAAGTAGAACAACACTGATGTCAAGGATTTTAGGAAATACTGTAGTCTTAAATACCATTGAGAAAGTGAGTGAAAAAAAGGACATTAGCTAAATTAATTTTTAGATCTCTGTTTTCTCATCTGTAACATAAAGGGGTCAGATTAGATAATTTTATAGATCCCTAATAATTTACTAAGCACCGGTTTTTGCTCAGTAACTTACTGAATATATACCTTGTTTGATTAATATGTATTATTATCCACAGTTTTGCACATGAAGAAGCAGATACTTGGGTTAAGTAACTTGACTAAGGTCACACAGTTGATAAGCGACAGGCAAACTTTTAAACCCCATTCATCCAGTTTCCCTGATCATTAGTGTAGGTACTGGCTCCTGTAGGAGGTGCAATAGGGCATATAATGTTTGCACCCTTTCCTCATTAGTTGGATATGTTAATCAAGTTGTTAATCGATCTGGATATTGAGAACACTCTTGGACAAAATTGTTATGATAGTAGATTCTTATCCTATCTATAGACCATTTATAACTTGTCTTTCTTAAATTCCCTTTGCCCAGCAAGTCCTTTATATTTGGCTTTTTAAAAATAGTGTTAAAATTGGAATATTATATTAATGTAATTGCAGAATATAAGTAAGAAACAATATAAAATGTGCAAAAAGAATTTTAGCACTTGGCATACTATTGCTTTTTATTTTGTCCTTATTTTCAAGTTAGGCTTGCATTTGCCATACAGTCCTAGAAAATGTACTATTTTGTAGGAATTCCTCTTGCTTTGTGTATTTGGTTCTCAGATCTGTGGGCTCAGAAATTCATTTTCAGCTTACCTAGGAGGGGACAAGCTCAAAGTTGTTGTTTATAGCAATTAGATGCCTTAATCCAACATGTTTGTTTATTAATTTGTTGTGGGGAGTGCTAATTGCAAGTGACTAGAATATGTTTTCCCACTATCTAGCAATACCTTTTGGTATCAAGGTATCTGGAAAAAACCCAAATGGATCATAAAAACTTTGCTTAGATTTAAGGTATTTAATGATCTTGTATCTTACATGTTATGTTTAAATCTGGAAAACCGTTCCCACTTCTATTGTGAACACACTGTAGAGACCACAGCATTCTGGTTACTAGAATATTTATATCTGACAGATGCTGTACCAAGTTTTGCTCTGTGAGATAAAACTGAATCACAAAAGATATTTATTATTTTTATCAGTAGGCAAAACTTCAACTGCTTTCTTAATTTAGTTTGTTTAGCAGACCAGCTTTTACACAGAGCTTGTCATCAGTAGTGGCATCTATTAGACTGTTAGGTCATACCCCAGATCCATCCCTACCACAATTACAGTTATTCTAAGTGAGTTCCACCTGCACATAGCTAATTTATCCATTTATATTAGTTTCTTTTAGTTTATGCCTTGAGATTGCAATTTTCTGACCTTGAAAACAATTGGAGCCTTAAAATATTAAAGGTACATAACCATTTATGCATTTGTTTGCAGTATTATGACATTATTAAATATATTAGTGTCAAATATATGTGCTATTTTAAAAAAACTTAAAATTGAGCAGACAAATTATAAGAAATATATTTAATCTTTGTATTTCTTTCAGCTTTCTCTATTAGAGCATTTCTATTCTGAGCCTCTTAGTGTTCTGTGCTGTAATCTTGCTGAAGCCAAAAAAAGAATAAATTTTTTATCAGATAACCAATGTGAAAATGTCCGACGTCTTCCATCGTTTAGGAGGTAAAAAACAAATACATATATAACATATATTATAAGGGAGTTTGTGGCAAAATGAGGGATCCTAAGGGCCAGTTATTTTTGAAGTGGGAAAGGATAATAACTTTTATTTTTAGAGGAAAATAAATCCCTTCTGTTTTCAATTGTGAGAGTTCTTTATTGGATTTGAAAATTTGGCATAAGGAAAATGTTCCAAGAAGAGGACATAATTTATAGGTTATTGAGAGTTTTTTTAATAAATAACATTTATAATTTCTAGAGTTTATAATTTTTCTTTATGATTAGACCCCTATATTGTGAGATGCAGCTGATTTAAGGAGTTAAAAATTACCATTAAACCATCACTGTCATATTGAATTTATTTTTATAAGAAATAAAAGAATGTGACCACCAATCTAGGCAAATACTTTCCCCCTTATGCTACTCAAATATTTGTAATATTTAATTTTTTTCTTTTTGTATATGGGATGGTAAACATTTTAGGCATGTGGAAAAGCAAGCTTCAGAAAAGCAAGTTGCACTGTTGACCAATGAGAGATTTTTGAAGGTAAGAATACAAATGTATTTGTGTCAGTTTTACTGTTTTCACTTTCTTCATGAGAAAGAATATGCACATAGCACTTAATTGAGTTAATTTTATGAAACATCTGTAAATCTTAACATGCATTGCAGAAAGAAGTACTAGGTTTTGATCATCATAGATAATTAAAAATGATAAACTGCAGTTCTAAAAGATAAGGCCTTTTTTTTTAACATCAAGAAAAAAAATTATAACACTAGGTTTCTCTGTGGTCTATTATGAAAACACTTCTAGCTCTCAGCTTTCTTTCCACATAACAGATTGCAATCTACAGGCAATCTCACTTTAATGTTCTTTTAAAGACTGTCATAAATAAAAGTGCATAGAAGCCATGCAGTTTAGGGAACTACTATGAAGTAGGTATTAATTTGATTTGCAAAAAATATTGTTATACATTGATGACATAATGCCAGGGAAGAAATAACGAGCTTAAAAAGTTCACCATACAACATAAGAAATATCAAATGAAGGAGTTTTATTTTTCTTTTCTTGAGTAAATAATACTTGGACATGGTGCATAGTCCAAAAGGTAAAAATAATATTTAGTGAAAAGACTCCCTGCTACCTGTCCTTCAACTACCCATTTCCCTTTCTGGATACAGCTGGTGTTGCTAATCTAAGTATCATTCTAGATATATTCACCACATACTCAGATCATTTTTTTTGGTATTTATATGTATATATGTATGTGTGTATATAATTTCTTCCCCCATAGGAAATTACAGAAGTATGCATTGTTCTGTACCTTGTTTGTTTTGCCTTTAATCTTAGAAATCATTCCATATCAGAACTACAGAGTATTCTATTTTTATTTAACAAGTACTTTACTGATGGGAAATTTAAAATGCACAATGTAGTACTTATTTTTATACTCCTCATACCTTTTAGGAAAAAGTTGTTATAAAGTTAAAATTCATCACTAGTGCTAAGTGTGAGTTTTATCTATATATACTATTTTCAGAGTTTGAATGAAAGCCATGGAATGAATGTTAGTTCCTGGAGGGCATGTGGTTTTACCTTATTTTTGTGAATTTTCCAGAAAAAAAATTGTGACTTTCATTAAACATTATTTCTAATGCAAAAAATGTACACTGGGGGGCCTCCCTGGTGGTAAAAGGGGTTAAGCATCAGCACTATGAAGCAATCCACAGCTACTACAGCACAAGTTCAATTCCCGGCCAGGGAGGTGAACCACATGGTGCAGCAGACTTCTCCTGTCTTGCCCGCTGCTCCCCTCAGAGGTATCTTTCAGTCATTCTGCCTGTTCTGTTTATTCCCCACTCTGTCTCTGGTGAAACCTCTCACCTCCCACACCTCTGGCTTGCACCCCAGCTCTTTAAAAAAAAAAAAAAAAAAAGACACTGGACCATAATATAAAATCACTTTCATGTTGCGTTTAATAATAATTTTAATAATCTCTAACCTTTTCAGAATAGTATAGGAAATCCTGTTACCCTAGTGCAGGTTATTTCAGTAGAGGGGAAGTGTAAGAGCCATTGGAAATGGATGTATGCATGTTTACTGAGTCTTTTAAGATTACATACATTAGTTCTCTGCTGTGTCAGCTAGTTGCCAAGTGCATTTCCTGCTAAAACATTTTTTCTTTCAAGAGTGTGATTTTCAAAAACCAGGAATAGATTTTTAGAGCACCTTTAACCATTGAGGTGACAGTGGGAAAGAATATTTAGGATGGCGTATTAGAAAAATAGCCTGACATTTATCTCTTTTTCAGAGACTTCTTGTGTATTTTCTAAGCTTTTATTTATACTGTATTTGTTCTTGTTGCACTTATCAGTCCTATTAGTTATCTTTGTTATATTCAGAATTGAATATTCTGTTATTTAAAGAGATGTTTACTGGACATTTACATAATGATAACTGCGAAAGAACACAAAGTTTGTACTCTGACCTTGAAAAAGTTATCTGCTAGCTACTTGCTAAATTCAAAGGACACAAGATGGCTATGAAAAAGATTAATGTATTTGTTGATTTCTTTTGGTTAGAATGAAAGTATCTTTTAACATTTTATTTTCTCTTTGTAGTTTAGTAAAAATACAGAATGCTATTATGTGTATTTTACTATAGTAAAAAATAACGGAAAAAAACTCCATGTAATAATACAGTACTGCATGATACAGGGAAAGATCCTGATCTTGTCCTCAGAAGTATTGCATTTGAACACCAGTTATTCATTAGGCATATTACTTAAGAAAATCACCTACCCTATTTGAGCCTTAGTTCCTTTATCTATAAAATGGGGTAACAGCTCCTAGTATGATTTCCTCATAAGTTAACGATAATCAAAATCTGTTCAACAGGTGAAAGTGAATTAAAAACAAAAATAAACTTTTATAAATATACATAGATATTATTATATATTTTTACTGATACAATTAAGATATGAATACATAGTTTCATTGTCTATTGTTACACATACTGCAAGTAATATTATATATGGTACTCTGTTATATAGACATATAGATTGTATAGTTATATAGACATGCTTACCATTACAGTTTATCATTTTGTACCCATTTTTTACTCTCCAGTTCCGAAGACATAGATAGACCTACAAAATATACTCCTGAGAAGTATATACTCTGTATCTACACTGTTTCTGCCCTAGAATCTGTTTTGCTTTCTAACTAAACCAGTGGTTCTGGTTTAGTATATATCAGAATCACCTGGAGTGCTAGTTAAAACACAGATTTTTGGACTCTATCCCCAGAGTTTCTGATTTTGTAGCTCTGAAGGGGGTGTGAGAATTTGCGTTTCTAGCCAGGTCTTTCATGATACTGATGCTGCTGATCTGTCAACACTATTTGAAAATGATCAAACTAGACTCTCTAGGAGAAAATGTTTATTGTTTTTCGTACTAGATTTTCTTCAATGTAGAACTAATTTAAATCCCAGCCTAAACAAATGAGTCATCTTAATTATCCACTGATTGGACTTAAGTTGTTAATAAAACTTTAATCCCCTTAAAATTCTAGATATTTATACTCAAAGATACTGCTTTAAAACTATATGCCAGTCTTGTATTTTATAAACTTAAGGAATGGGTTTTTTGAGAGTATACTTTTAAATTTAAAACAGTTCAGCTATATAAACCATTTCCTCAGTTATATCATTAGATGAAATATTCTGTCATGTAATTTGAAAAAAAAAAAAAAACACATTTTTTAAACCCTAGAATTCCAATCAGCACAGGGAAATAATTAAACATTGAGAATTATGAAGGGGGAGAAAAGCATATTAATATTCATTTTTACACTTATTGTAGTATAGTTGCTGAGATTGTAACATTTCCTGTGAAGCATCCAGGTAAATTCAGTAAGAATAGTCATTTCTACTGTATCACCCAGTTATTTGTGCATACTGTTATTCCATAAAGCAAAAGTAATATGTAATATAAGTTGCATAAAGTATGAGTGTTAATCAGTAATAGATTCCCTTTTTCGAGAATTTGCTCCCTGTTGAAAAGGTCTTGAAAGCACATGTTAATTAGTGGCTTTACTATCTTTATGTTATGCTTACAGTAAAAGTAGAAATAAAGTATACTCTCTTGATGGTTTTTAAATTACCCATCTCTTTGATTATAGCATCTTTTGTTGTGTTAGGAAGCCCATATCTTTGCAATTCCCAACTCAAATGGTGGGAGGAAAAACATTTTGTTTAGTTCTAAAGTCTTTTCTTTCATTTGCCGTGTACTTGCAGGTAATGACTCATAGATTGCTGACCGAGGGATAGATTTCACTTAGATTTCTAAGTGAATTAGAATTTAGGAAAAGCTATCAGATAGGTTAGATTTGCTTGAATTTATTGATAACTGATGTTTTATTTTCTGCATGGCTGAATGTTAAAAATAGCAAGATATTATTGAAGAAAAGACAGTCCTATCACTTAAAGTCCTTTATTTGACTTCCTAGAGAAAAAATTTTGACCTCCATGCCACAGATCATAATCCTCTAAAGAAAACATAACAGAAGTCAACAGTTTTAAAAGTATTTGAAGCCTGAAAAGCATTTGGTGTGGTGTAGTGTTTTAAAATAATTTTTAAACTGAAAAGTTCTAGACAACAATCTCCCCCAACCCCAAATAGTTTTGAAATGAATTGTTTTCATCCCACAGATTTCTTAGTAGACTTACATCTTGTCATACGTGCTGTATTCTAAATTTATAATATTTGTTGGCTTTGCATTCCTCATTTTTACATTTTTTTTCCTTAAGTAGGAAAGTGAATAAACCAAATATTTGGGATTATCCCCCAAAAGGGCAAAATTTAGTAAAATCTTCTGCGGTGTTTCTTCCACAGTCTTCCCTTTCAGACATAACTTGAGCGGTATTTCAGGAAAATAAAGTACTTGTTAAATTTAAAAAAGGGGGAGGGCATCAGAGGCAAAGCCTTAGCAACTGTTATTACATTGTTAGTGGGCTCTATATGGATCTCCATACCCTTCTGATGTGAGGTAGAGAATAATGAGCTTTTTTCACTGTGGCACACACCAGTGACTGCCACAGGCCAAAATCCAGCACAGTGTGCTCTTTTGCACACTTGTAGACTGGGGGGCTATGGTATAGTGGCAGTGCTGTTGGTAGGGGGAAGTGAAGTTACAGTAATTCTGGTGTGTCGACAATATCTTCAGACTTGATAGCCCTGACTTAAAATGCCAGGCTTCATTCTGGATATTTTGTGCCTTACATTTACTTTAGAATTAAGGCTGCTAATTGGTAATTGTGAATGTTCTCTTGTCAGATTTTCAGAAATTATGTCATTGAAGTTGATATATTTTAATTACTGATTTACATATTTTTAATACATTCTGTGGTTTTTAGGAGGAAATACAGTCATTATTAGAAAACTTGCATATTTACCATACGAATTACTTCCTGGTTTTGAGATGTCTTCATAAGTTCACCTCTTCTCTTCCGAAGTATCCATTGGGTCGACAGGTAACCAGAATTCCCTCATTTAGAGTCTGTGAAGTAAGAATATTAGTAATTTCTTCCTTTGATTTTTGTAGCATTAAATATTATTTTGAAATGGATCCAAAATTACAGTGAGAGCACAAACTCATTTCAACTGTTCATATAATTGGTCATTGAAAAAAAGTATTATTTGTACTGACACCTACAACTGAAACAAGCACACTGAATTCTAGTAGTGTTGCTTCTTCTAAAATGTATTTGCATTAAGATTTTGTCACTTTCTTTAATACTTCTTTGTCTCATATAATAAGAGAGCAGGTTCTCCTCTGCCTTGAAAAAGTGGGAGAAGGAAGCTACTTGACAATGCTTAATGATTGACCTTGCATTGTACCGAGTACAAGGGAAGCAATATTTCTTACTAACTTATGTTCCCTTGGCCTTTGTATAATACCATAAACCTGTGAAACAGCTGTAGAGTAGATGTTAAAAGAATTCTGTATTCCTAACTCTGCATCCTTAACTCAGAGGTTTAGAGAACATTTATAATTATGTTAGAATGAATTGTTTATGAGGTGATTTCTGTAAGTCTTTTTAATCACATTATCATTTTATTATTGAACAGTGACCAGTGATATCAGCTAATCCCAATATAGTCTCATTTTATTTTTATGTAATTGGTACCTTTATAAAGCCTAATTCATTTAACATGCAAGTCTGTTGTTATCTAAAGGAAATGGTTGTTTTTATTTTAATTGTTTAGGTTTTCTTTTTATAAATATATATTTTACATCATTCTTGATTTTTGTACAGTGTATGCTCTCTTCTCTCAGGTGTTCCCTGTAAGCTTCACCCATGCACCCATAGTGCCTTGTGCTCTTCCTGCCCCTGTTTTGCCCTGCCCCTGTTTTGATACTTCTCCCTTCCCCTTCCCTGCAGAATGTCTCTGATTTTTGCCTGTTAATTTTGTTTTTTTATTTATTATGTATTTTTTCCTGATCCCTTATTTGGTTTCCCTGTATTCCTCCTATAAGTGAAACCATCTGGTAGTCTTCTTTTTTTTTCTGGTTTATTTCACTGAACATAATCCCTTCCATCTCCATCCATGATGCTGCAAATGGCATGAGTTTATCTTTTTTGATTGCTGAGTAATATTTCATTGTGTGTATATACCACATCATCTTTATCCAGTCATCTATTTGGGGGCATTTGGGTTGTTTACATATCTTACCTATTGTTAATAGTGCTGCAGTAAATGGAGGGGTGCAGGTATCCTTTTGAAGTCATGTTTTTGTGTTCTTTGGGTAGATTCCTATGAATGGAATTGCTGGGTCATATGGAAGCTCCATTTCTAGTAGTTTGAGGAACCTCCACGCAGCTTTCCATAGGGCTGGACCAGTTTGCAATCCCACTGACAGTGTATGAGAGTTCCTTTTCCTCCACATCCTAGCCAACATTTGTTATTTCCTGTTTTTTTAATATGTGCCATTCTTACTGGTATAAGATGGTATGTCATTGTGGTCTTCATTGCATTTCCCTAATTATAAGTGATGTTGAACATTTTTTTATATACCTGTTGGCCATTTGAATTTTGAAGGAAATGATTGTTTTTAATAACAATTTTTCTTGTATTGATCATTTATAATTTTGCCAAACTAATAGTGTGCAAACAGTGTGTCACTCTTAGTTCTTCATGAATGTGCTCTTCACTTACAGATCAGAGAGCTGTACTGCATGTGTTTAGAAAAGAACATATGGGATTCAGAGGAGTATGCTTCAGCCTTGCAGTTCTTGAGGTAGGTGGTTTTTTTTTCCTTTTTTGTCTACTTTAAGCCTTCCAGTTAACACCTTCCTCTAAAATTCTGACTCTCATGAAGTTTCAAAAATAGCCATGTTTTGTCTAATACTTGTATATATCTTGAAATTTATGTTTGTGGCTTGTAGTGTTTTTAACGTAGCAACCATCTATTTTTACTGGTTTTAACCTTGTTTTTGAACTTGCGGTTTCAAAAGTAAATTTAGTGATAGTTTTGTCTTAACATCTACACTACATGAGGAGAACTTAAGTATAGATCATTTTAATCCAGCCAGCTTGACATTATGGCAGGGGGGAAGGCATCAGTACTCATGGATAGAGAGCTTTGCTGTGGCCCCAACCTTTTTGAGAAGGGGGAAAAATATCTCTATAGTAGTATGCAACACTGTTGGATGAAATGCATCCTGTACCATGATGAAGAATAACCATGCAAAAGCAGTTGCTTTGCAACCTGAACGTGTTCTGTTCATACTAACATTCGATAATATATAAATTACTTACCTAATTTTATATTAATAAATATTTTAGTGTTATTACAAGATAACAAATACTAGTTCTCATCTCTGACAAATTTACCTATTTTTTTTTCCTTAAGATTTATTTATTTATGTAAGAACCGGGGTACAGGTCAGATGTGCAGGAGGATGAGAGAATTCACCAGAGACAGAGTGGGAAACAGAACAGGCAGACTGACTGAAACACACTGCTGAGGGGAGCAGCAGGCGAGACAGGAGAGGTCTGCCCCGCCATGTGGGTATCTCTGCGGCCGGTGGGGATCAAACTGGTGCTGCAAAGGCTGCAGACAGCTTCACAGCACTGCATTCAACCACCTGTGCCACCAGGGAGGCCCCAAATTTACCTTTTAATGTTATAATCATTAATATTCCTTGGCTAATTATATGTCTGATGACATTGTAGTCTTTCCATAAAAATAATGACTATTTGGATAGTGAGAAACAGAAAGTCAAGTGTGAGCTAAGTTTCTGCATAGTCTTATAATTTTTCCTTAGTGAATGTAAGTACTTATATGAGAATATCATAAAGAAGTCTGAGAACTGAATGTTTATTAAGTCTTGGTTCTCCCTGGGCCCACAGGAATAGAACAGATGGGCACAGTAGGAGGAAAATTCACATTGAAAGCACTTTAAGTCCACAGACTTAGTAATACAAATGTTAGTGATCTAGCAGGTGCAGCTTAAGATAGGAAACTAATTTCATGCTATCTGGAAAAATAACTCTCCATGGAACTAGTTGCCACTGAAAAGCTGTCTTTCATTACATTTTTTTAAAAATGCCAATAAGTGATCACTATTTATATATTTAATTCAGTTTAAATATTTCTAAGATATCTTTTATATTCCATTTAATACACCTGTCTTAAATATCCAGTTGAGTTTTGCTAGGTTTCCTCTTTAACCTTTGTGATTATTTTCTTCTCTACTTGGGTATTCCCAAATTTCTTTGTCAGGAATGTATTTGTCCTTTTCTTTCCACATCTCCTTGGCACTGGTATTCTTAGGTTATTAAGTCAGGGATCAAGAATGCCAATTCTATGTTAGAGTAAGGAAACCAGCAATAGTAGTAATGGCAATAGTAGTGACCACTATTTATAAAGACCTCCCATGTGCAAGGTGCTGTGTTAGGCACTTGTAGTACACTTTGTCATCGAATACTCAAGTGTACCTTGTGGTCGATACTATGAACTACCTTTACAGCCCAGCAGACTGAAGTACAAGTATGGTTTAAATGATTTGTTTGAGATAGCTTAGTTGCTTATGGAACCCGTGTCTAATCCAGGTCTGACTTCAGAGCTTTTTTACTTCCCACTATTCTTTATTAAGATCCACAATAATGTCTGGGGAATATAAGTAAAACAGAGCAATAAATAGAAAGTGAAGTTTCAGTCATTTTGCTAAGCTGAGATTAGAAACAGGAATGTGAAAAGCACTGAAAATCAAATATAGCAGCTACAGCATGGAAAGGCTTGAGTCTCAGCACCTCCAAACTGGAGCGTTGGTCACTTTGCAGTATATACATATATTGAGTCATCTGAAACTAATATAATGTTATATATCGATAATAAACTTTTAGAAGGAATTTGTAATCATTGTAATCATGTGGAAGAATATTTATCATATATTTATGGGTAGAAAAAGACCCACAGAATTCTCTATCACAATCATTTTTAAATGTATACTGCAGTCATGTGCATGGCGAGTATGAAAGTATGCCTTTAAAAAATACCAGAATTTGATATTAGTGCAGTGATTCTGCATATTGTCCACAACCTTTGATTGCTCTGTCAACTCTCAGCATATGAAGAGATACTGCAAACCCAGCAGTGAGCTATGTGAATTTATTGACTTTTCCTCGTCAACTATGAAAGACCATAAGAGGAAAAATTTACCTTTCTATTGGTGGAAATTTCTAGACCATGGATTTTTAAACTTGAAATATGGAAGACTTTGCTTCAGTGAAAAGGTTTTAAAGGTTGATATAAGACATAGAGTCCTTAACTTAGAAGATCATGGTGCTGGACCTGAAGGATATTGCGCTTGTACATCAGTTTCAGTGGTTCTCTTTAGCGGTGTTTCTTGGATTGGCAGTAGTGGAAAGTGTGCCCCTTTTAGGGAAGTTTACTCTTCCCCCCACTCTGTCAGCTGAGAATGACTCATCTATGAGTTATCACATTTTTACCAATTATAAGGAAACCAAAGCCGGAAACATTGAGTGACTTCTGTAATTGACAGAGCTAAAATTTAAATCTGAATTTTCAAAGCCAGTGCATTTTTCAATTCTATTCCAATTATTGGAGAGGTGGTAAAAAGGGAAGTTTATACGGGTTTGTGGTCAGTAGTCCATGTTCAGAACATACCCCAAATTTTAAAATGAGCCAGCAGAGCAAGTATCTATTTCCACACTAGGCATCTTAGCATAAGTTACAGATATATCAATGAAAGGAGCCACAGTATCTCATCTGCCTGTCCTAAGTGGAATCTTATGAGCTTGCTACAGAAACATTTATAAATTGAAGCTGATTGATACCTGAAGGAATTTGTTAGGGTGAAAAATTATTTTAATTTCTGAATAATACTTTTGAGTTAAACAGTGAGGTCAGCTTTCATTGAGTTAAAAATAAAACAAAACATTGATCCCAGTTATAATAACATTTGTTCATTTCAGTTTAGGACTTTGGGATCTAAAGAGTGCATTATTCGGGCCTCCCCAGTGGCGCAGCAGTTGAGCGCTGGGTTGCGAAGCTGCCCGCGGCCTCTGCGGCGCTGGTTCGATCCCCGGCTGCTCCCCGGCCACTGGAGGAGGGTCCCACATGGCGCGCAGACCCGCTGCTCCCCTCAGCAGTGTACTTCAGTCCTTCTGCCTGCTCTGCTCCCCGCTCTGGCTCTGATGAATTCCCTCGCCCTCCCATGCTTCTGACTGTACCCAGTGCATGTATAAACAAAACGAATAAATAAATAAATAAATAAATAAACATGCCTCTATTTAAAAAAAAAAAAGAGTGCATTGTTTCTTGACTCTGCAGATCAACTTTAGTTGATTTTTTTAACTAGCTATGAAAAATGACAGCTCTACCGTCTAGTAGATGCTTCCTAAATAGCAATAATCTTATTTTGTTGATCTAGATTTATTCATGCAGAAACTGAGAATGCACCATTAAAATGTAATTTCTCAATGAACAAGGTTTCTCAGGTTGCAAACCCTGAATTTGTATCACATCAGATTCTCCACAATTGTCTTTAAACTTCTGGTAAAATACAAACAGAAAAATAGTAATATTTCATTTTAAAGCATAAGATGTTGAGAGTCATTATAAAGTAGTGGTTTTCAAGGTTTGGTTTGCATAGAAATTAGCTGAAGTGTATTAAACATGTTGATTTCTGCCCTCTTACCAAAGATTCTGACTCTTGGGAACATGTATGTTGGTTAGCAAGAATCTTCATTTAAGCATATTTAAATAGTTGGTCCTGGGACCACACTTTGAGAAACACTGTTATCTAGAATAACAGATTTTTAAAAAGTGAGGGGAAAATGTGAAGCTGTGAAAGGAAGTCTTTGTGTAGACACTAGATGATTTTATCTATTGTTTTCATTTGAATAGAGTACAGAGTCTTCAGAATATCGGAGGAAGCCTGATGACTTATTTGAGGAGATATGGAATAGAGTTTTTTACTGTATTTGCAGGTTATTTTTTCAATTTGCATTTTTTTTAATGGAGGTACAATGGTTTGCAATACCACATGTGATTTGGGGGTATGGGTCATACTCCTTTCGATGTATGTTACCACATCACACCATCAAAGCACTCATAATCATCTACCTTAATCCACTGGACCTTTTTCCTTTTGTTTCCCAGCCCTCCTCTTCTCCTCTGGTAGCATGGGTTCTATAGTCAAATTTTAGCCTTTATTTTTTGGTTTGGTTTTGTCTAACCCTTTGTTTTGTTTCTCTATCTTCCACATATGAGTGAAATCATATTGCAATTGCCTTTTTCCTTCTCTCCTATTTCACTTAACATAGTTCCTTCCAATTCCATCCAATTTTGCCAGGTGGCAAGATTTCATCTTTTTATATAGCTGAGTAGTACTCCATCATAAATATATATACATACGTGTGTGTGTGTGTGTGTGTGTGTGTGTATGAGACACACATATTGCATTTTTAATCCACTCATCTGTCCTTGGGCATTTAAAGCTAAATTCTATAACTTGGCTATTGCAAATAGTGCTGTATTGAATATAGGAGTGCCTATGTTCCTTTGAATTAATGTTTTTGCATTCTTTTTTTTTTTTTTAACTTTTATTTTTTTTTTATTTTTTTTTAATTAATAAATTTTATTTTTATATTCCCCATACAATTGCAATCCCCCCATTCTGACCCCAATCCCTCCCCTCCCGCCCCCCACCCCCCAAAAAGTGTCTCTGGTTCATAGTTTTTGTTGATTTTGATTTTCACTTTCTTATA